TGTACTTTTCCTGTTAGCAACAGAGTCATGTTGGTCATCTATCTAACTTCATTCAGGGGAAATTTTTGAATCAAAGTAACATGACTTTCATTCCGAACTGGAAGTTTGTACATAGTTAATCATGGCCTCCTGCCCTAAGCTTTCCACATCTGATCTCAAATTTTCATCTAACTTCTTTCTCAAGATTAAGGAAGGACAGATGGACAGACAGGATGACAATAGGGAATTTATAGGTCTATAATTTTTTTCAAATTGCAGCCCAATAATTTTTCTATAAATTCAATATTTACAAGAACATACTTCACCCATAGTTCATACAATCTGTTACCAAAATTTAAACACTATCATCACATAAAAGCAATTATTCTAGCATTTTTACAAGATTTTTTTATTTAAACAAGTTTTGTATGACCAGTATTAATTAGTTGTTGTTGACCATCCTCTCTTCTGGGAGGAAGTCGACGACTACTTTCAGTGGAATTACTTCAACCCCTTTTGCAACAGTCCCTTCTTTCTATCGGACAGACAGATGGTGGCATTCAAATACAAAAATTACATAATACAGAGTTACCAGCCCACACAAAATATGTTTTAAATGTGCAATGCCAGATAATGGTTATGCAAGATTTAAAAAATTTTGTTTCAATGCATAGTCTGAATATTTATAAATGTTTTTAAACATGCATTTTAAAAAGTTTATTTATTCTATTATTGAATATAAATTAACAATGATTTACTTTTATTCCCTTGTTTTATCATTAAAATCATAAATATTGATATCATTATTGTGCCAAATTGATATTAAAATAGCTTTTTAATTTATTCCTTTACTGTAATGTAAGCATAAATTCAAAGGGAAAAAATCATCACAATGCTTATGTGGAGAGGGAAGGAGTCAAAAATAATGAAAATTATGTTTAAAATTTAGATGTCTTCACAGTACTGTTCTTAAAAATCGAAACCATACATATACAGGGTGTCTCAGTTAAACGTTCAGAACCTCTAAGAGGGGTAGGGTGCATCCCGTAATCATACAACAATGTAGGGTTGGAAAATGGAAATGCTTTCCTGATGTGGTAGATGGTGTTGCGCAAAAATTTCAAGTATTCTTGCAGGGTATCATCATTTCGCACAAGGATGCAGAGTGAGCTGATATGCATTTAGTGTATGGGCCTGCAGATTGTAGTGGACTAACTGCACAGCGCTTGTACGTGGAACGATATCCGATGAGGTGTATGGTGTATTCCAGCCATAATTTCTTCACAAACCTGCACCAGAGGTTAGCTGTTTCTGTGTACATCACTGCTTCAGGAAAGCATTTCTGACCCTGCATTGCTACATGATTCCAAGTCGTCGGGATGCACCTAACCCTTCTTAGAAGTTCTGAAACGTTTAACTGAGACACCCTGTATATCATTCTGTTATCTGCTTAAGTTTTACAATATAGAATTTCAATATAATGCAGTACTAAATTCGTAAAAAGAATAGTAGCAGTGTTAAAATAAAAATTAATGGTAGAGAATTAAGGGAAATGGACAAGTTCAAATATGTAAGCAGCATTAAAGAAAAGAGGAGGAAATATGGAAAAAGTGACTAAAATACATCAGAAAGAGGCAAATTTATTTTTCTTGGTGTGTTAGATATATACTAGAGAAAGGAAGCAATAGCCTCTGAAACCTGGAATTATTTTTCATACAGTATCATGTTGTGTATGTAATATTTATGACAACACATTAACTTTTGCAATTCTCTCTGCACAGAGATGAAACTTTTAAGACATGCATAATATGGATGATATATAGAGAGAAAACGGAAATAAGAGATACAGAAGAAAATGAGATTGAGCAAAATAGAAAATATTATTAAAGAGAAATAGATGAAATACTTTGGACCATGTTAAAAGGATGGAGAAGGAAAGAATATTGTGTATGATCAAAGAGAGATGCATGAAGAAAGATTAAGAGAAAGGCCAAGGAGAAGAAGCAAGACAAGGGTAGACAGGAGATGAAAGAAAGACCAAAGAAGATGGACAGGCTATACAAAGCTGACTGAAGAATAATAGAAGCTATGATGGTAGTGATGAATGTGCATTAAAAATTTATTCCAAAGTCTCATTGTAAGTTTAGAGAGCTATTTTTGTTATGTCTAATTATTTTCAAATTTTGATGACATGGATGTTTTTAATGTAGTATCAATTTTCTCTCTAAGAAATAATGAAAATATGGATTTTGTTCATACACTACATTGTTTAACTGTCATTTCTGCATATCACCATTTTTGACAAAAAAAATTACTAGTATTGTTAATTGTTATATATCAATTTATTAATCTAAGTGTTATTTTTTATTTGGTTTGGAATCGAGGAGTATATTAATTTTTCTCATAAAAATTCATGAAAATAATGGTGTTATTTCATAGAATATCATCTAAATGAAGGATTAAAAGGAAAAAATTACAAACTATTACATTGGGAATGAATGTACAAATTGCTACTAAAATGTAAAATTACGTTTAAGACAGTAAAAATATATTTAATTAAAATACTTATGAGAATTTTTTCATGAAAATGAATTAAACAATAATGACAGGTCATAATAATTATATATTTATTAGTTAGAATCTGTTATATGTTTTACAGTTTTGTTTTTTCTTTTAAACATAGTGAAATCGAAATTAGAATATATTAAATACAATATGAAAATAATTACATAAAAATTAATTTTTAAATCCATGAAAATTATTCAGCCAATTTCTATGGATTTAAAAATATATATACCATTTTATATATATATTCAAAACAATGATCAAATTCAAACATTACAAAATTTTATTTATTGTTTGCTAATAATAACTTATAAACTGTTAATAATTAATAAATTAATTTACATATATTTTTATGTTCTGAGATTCTATTGTTATTGAATTTTTATTACAATAATTACAACTTCAAATATCCCTGCCTTATGAAAATGTACAGGTTTCTATTTAAATTTAATACTGGGGGAGATCAATTTTGTTCTTTTTAACAATCCTGGAACTTTCAATAATAGAAAAACTTACAAAAAGTGGAATTTTGTATAAAACAACATCCATGGAATTAAGAGATAATTGTTAACATTCCATGGATAATTTTTCCTTTTTTAAAAACAGTACAATTTATACAAAGATATGAAAGGATGAGATTTCTAAAAATTTCATTTACAAATGTATGATTATTTGTGACTATATACAGGATGCAATATAATTTGTAAAAATACTAAAAATCTGTTAAGTTATTATAACTTATAATTTTTATAGCTATTTTTTAATATCCGGCAGATATGTCTAATATGACAAATTATTTAAAATTTATTTTAACAAATATATCGCTCTTATCAAAAAAAATAATAGTAATATGATATTGAAGTGGATATGCATGGTATCACTTGACATAAATGTCTCAAAGTACATAATAAAAAAAAAAAGGGAAAAAAATCTAAACATGGCACAAAGTAACTTGTAATTGAAGTTATTTTAAATTTTTACAAAATATTGCTAACAAAAANCTTCTCACTAATAAATAATGATGTAAACACAAACGGCAATATTATAGCTGTAAAAAAGTCATGACCTTCCACTCACATTTCGATGCTTAAATTATTAAAATGTATTATTTTCAATTTTTAAATAATGGCATTGGAAGTTTTGGTAATTCCATTGTAGTTACTGACTGATATGTCATTATAGTTGTATTGATAAATAACTAGTTATTAAACTTATCTTTGCAATAAATGAGGTAAGTATTTAAAAAAAATTGGAAAATAGCAATTTATTTCTTCTAATTTTTCACAGTTTATGTTTATTTATTTAATTTTCTTTAAACAAATACTATTAGAAGTAAAGGAAACACTGTCATTGGTCAAAATAATAAGAAAAAATAAGAGTTGCATAACCATCACATTTCATATTACATGATAAATGTAGAAAGTTAAAGATAATGATTTTAATAGTTCTATGTAAAATGTGCATGTAAAAATCCCACTATTATATATATGCACATGCAGAAAATTGCTCACACTGAAAAATGCCTATGATGCAAAATACAGACAGTAATTTTTACATAAAGGTGACAATGTACACAGAATTTCAAGTACTATTGATATTTTTAATTATAGATAACCATTCACCTCCATTTATGAGAATAAATAGATTCTACCTGTATTTTAAACAGTGATGAGAATAATCAAAGACAACTTTAAAATGGCAAAAATCAGTACTCACTGGATGCAGAGAATGTTTGATGACAAAAAGTTCATCCAATTTCTCAAACTTGTGTTAGTTTAGCATTAAATAAATTCTGTTTGTTTCACAAACAGTAAGCTCAAATTATAAATATATATTTTATAAATAAACCATGGAGAATACAGAATGTTTCATTAACAACAGTACTATTATAATTATGGAAGCAAAACCTAGATTATTATTTCTGAATTTGTAACTTCCTATTTAGAAAAAATTTCCCCAAAGAGATTACTGAAAATTGCCATTATAGCAACATATGATACTACAGTAAATTTCCAAAAGCAAGTAGTATTCAATTTTCATTGCTCATTAGATCATTTTGCCATTGGTTGTTCAATTTTTTAATGGTCAAGAAGTTTGTTACATATCTGTCAAACATATAAGCATACCAGTCAAGCATTAATATATAACATGTTAAATTACCAACAGCAAATGAACAATAATCTATACTGTATCTTTTGTCATATTTTCAAATTTTGTAAGATTAAAATTTAAAAATGTGATTATAAAAAGGTGAATAGATACTTTGTGCATTATTAATAAAAATATAAAATATTGATAAAGAAATTATATATGCATTTACACGATATACAATTAAACAAACTTTAAAAATTTGAAGACTACTGAAGTAAATACTTTATTAAAATTTTATAAGAATTATCACCTAAAATCTTATTTTAAAATAAATTTAATAATAATTATATTACATATAATTAAAATATCAGAAATAACTAACTAAAAATATTACCTATCTGAGCCTAACATGCGAAAAATTCGACTCTGATCATTAATTTCTTGAACCACTTCATTGTTTTTAAAACTTCTTCCTTGCATGCCATGCTTATGAAAAGCTAACACACTATCCGTCAGACAAACTAGATAAAATAAAAATGATTTTTAAAATAAAAATTAAAATATATGTTATTATAGGCTGATAAATCCTTAACATACCAATGGATTCTACAGGAAAATCAAAATGCAGTTCAGCAGGCTGTTGATGCCTTGATTTGAGTTTCCCATAAAGATTTACTAACTTAACTAAATCTAAAGAAAAAAATAATAATCTTTGATTTTTTAATATATTGCAAGATAATTATTATATTATAAATATGTTGAAATATGATTTAATGTAGTAGGAAAAGTACTGTATACAACACCAACACTATAAAATGTGTTTAAATATTTTCAATCAAAACTTAACAGTCATATGCTGTACATCTGTACATAGATAAAAAGTATAAAAATTATATTTAAGTTATATCACAAGAGTGCTTTAATTGACAATTCAAATTGTTTAACATTTCAGCTTATCCATTCATAACAATTGGCTTTTCCATGCACTGATGATATCAGTTCTTTCAAATTTATTCCTTTCAAAATTAAAAATGCATAAAAATATTAAAGATTTCCTATCTATTTATTTACTTTTTGTCATATTTCAAGTATTGAAAATTAATTTTATACACAAACTGAACAAAAAAAAAAATCTATTAATTCTGGTAAATCTATGTTTGAAATTTATTGTTATACCAAAATTATCATAAAAGTTGTTAAATCAACATTAAATAGATTTGAACTATGTTAGTTAAAATTCAATAATTCATAAAGTTATCATTTTAAAATGAAAATCTAAATAGAAAGAAGTAAAACACTCATTAATTAGTAATTAAAATGAAAATATGCCTTCTCACTAATAAATAATGATGTAAACACAAACATAAAAATAATAATAAACTGTAAAGAAAATAATTTTAAATTAAAAATGATCAAATTTTTACAATATATGATATTTAAAATGGCTGCATTTAAAAATTAACAGTTTCTTATATATTATGTGAAAAAATCTTACAGAATCAGAAATTAAAATCTATATTATTCTTTAAGTAAAATAAATTTGAAAGAAAGCATGCATTATTTGATTAATAAAGACTTATTAGGTTTGCAATGTATTTTAAAGAAGAAAATCCAAGGAAAAAGATATTTATTTAATGTAACCAAAATTGAATTTCATTGGAAATATTTTTGGCCTATGGTTTGGCCAACATTAGTCAACTCTGCACATGACTAAAATGAAGAACACTCTTATGACAGACTAGACACAATAGCTAGATGATGATGATGATGTGACTGACTACTTATAAATTCAGAAAAATTGTTTGTTTATACTTTTGCTCACTCTCCAAAGATTATATCATAAAATGATAAGCAAAAAGAAACAAAACTGCATAAGTGCTAAATATATGTATACAGTAGACCCCCCTATAAAACGGGTTCCTATAATTACGATTCCTATAAGACAGCAAAAAAATTGCAATGGTATCCGTAAAAAACGGTAAAAAAACTCCTATAATTACGTAAAACGTCATCGGGCAGCTGAACTACTTTCCGCGCCATCAAGCGCCATGCTACGGAGAGATTACTATCGTCTGTACAGTATGTAAGAGATTACTATCATCTGTACATGCTACAGAGAGATTACTATCATCTGTACTGTATTAGACTTATGGTACTTAGGTACCGTAAGTCTAATACAGTACTGTAATTTTATACATTTCTTGTGAAAGAAACATTTCTTGTGAAAGAAACATTTCTTATTCAACGGCGATAAAAATGATTTATATTAATGATGTCTCCAAAGTTCAACGAAGTTTTCGCAGAAAAATAACATCAGAAATCGAGGCCGCGGTTTGCTGAGTTGTTCCGCGACGAAAACAAGCTTGAGCAATGGCGATGTCAAATGGTGCACACTCGGTAAGTAATCCTACAATTTTTTGTTTATAGCGTAGTTTATACGGATTATTTCCAAAAAAATATATGTATTTTGAAAATGTTGAGTCGGATTAGTCTAGAATCGATTAATTTTATGGAAGAAAACCTTTCAAACAGCCATAGTCTGTAAACTTGACACGTATCGAGCTGTGATTGGAAGGACTCGTAAGAAATCGGATTCCTAAAGAATGGAACGTATCTACTGTCTTATAGGGGGGGGTCGACTGTAATATATATTAAGTACCAAATTGGGAATGATAATAGTAACAAAAATCTAGTAAAAGCCATGGAAGGAGAAAATAAAACAATCTTGTGACTAATAATGAGAGTAACCTTATAGGATCTAGAAATAATGGAATGGAATCTGGCATTAACAAAATATTCAATTGCAATATTATTAGAGTTTAGTAGTAATCTTGTAAGAAAGACTGAAAGAAAAAACATATTTCTTTGAAATTTACTCATTGTGAAATATGATAAGTTTTTAGTATTTAGGAAAGTATAATAATATACATGTCTATTTAATAACAGTATAGATCACATTACAGTGGAACCTCGGTATACGTCTGCTTTAGAATATGTCCAATTCGGAATACGTCCTTTTTGGACGAAACAAATTTTGCTCAGTATACGACTTTTGTTCGGTATATGACTTAATTCGATTATATGCACCAGCTATGAACAAGTAGCACTATTGGTGTACTACACTAGACTAGACGTTTGCGGTGCTATGGTTTATAACTTTGTTAAATTTCTTCTGATTTTAATCTGTAAGTAACATTTTATTATTTTTATTAATCATGAATTGCAAAAGGGCAACAGAAAAATAAAAAAATGACTAGAATCACAACGGAACTGAAAAAAGAGATTGTTGAGAAATATGAAGGTGGCACGTGTGTTCGATATTTAACGAGATTTAACTGTTGCATTCCGTATTCCGAGAACGACGATATCGACAATCGTGAAAAATAAAGACATTATTAAATTTGCTAACATTGCGAAAGGGGTTAAATCAATTTTTAAACATAGATCGAAGACATTAGATCATGTTGAGAAATTGCTTTTGCTTTGGATAACTGAAAAACAGTGTGCTGGCGACAGCGTATCAGAAGCAATTATTTGCGAGAAAGCTAAAAAGATACACGCTGATCTCATGAAAAATCAAGCAGGAACTAGCCAGGAAAGCAAGGTGTTTAAAGCCAGCCATTTTTTTACATGAGAACGGATTAATCATTTTTACATTACTTCTTATGGGAAAGGTTGGTTTGATATATGTCCTATTCAGTATAAGTCCAAACACCAGGAACAGATTAAGGTCAGGTCGTATACCGAGGTTCCACTGTATTTTGTAAATTACATATCAAGTTTATCTAAACTGAGCATCAACATGCATTAATTATCATGATATAGTAGAAAATACAGAAACTTATGTATACAGTGTCCCAAAAGTCTCCATACAGTGACACAAACCAAGCCCACCAGTGGCTGAATAAATAAAACATAGAATACTGGTAGTTTGGTCATTGGTTCGTGCCTGACCAATGGGCTGGTCACCATGCAGTGTTCTGAGTTTTCTTCATGTGTCTAACACCTAAACATAGGAAGTTCTCTTAGAAGTTACACCATTGGCAGATCACCCATGTGTTCCATTGCCTTACTCAGTCAATCCACTGACACAAATCTCAATGCGATTTTAATATTTTGCAAATAAAAGTTATATTTCATCTTTGTATGTAAGGAAAATTTTGGGACATCCTGTATTTTAAGGTTATAAAAAAAATTTTAAGTAAAATGATGTAAATGTACATTTATCTCTGTTAGTTTTTAAGTGTAAAATCATTTGCGAGATAAATAAAAAAAAAGCTATGCAGATAAGAACCTATTGTATTTAATATCAAAATCATCTTATTTGAGAAGTTAAACTAAATGTCAAGAGACACTTCAACTGATGTTTGAACTGTAAAAAATAATTTCTACATTGATAAAAAGTAATCATATTTGTTGGAGCGAGGCGAAGATGAGCAACGACTAACACTTGACTTCGTGCATCCCTTGTCAACATCATAACTCTACAACGAGTTGTCTGATCTTGATGAAATTTTCTAGGATGACTTATCATCACTCAAGAATAAACTGATTAAAATTTCAACTCTCAAAAATTTTCCATTTTTGTAGAACTGGAGATAAGGTTCAAAACAAAGGTCATGTTTTTCTTCAGTACAGTAATACCTCGACTTACGCGATTTTCAAATCTCGTCGATTCGTCTTTTGAGTGCCACGCAACCCTTGATTACTCACTCCCCCACACTATTGTTCAGCTTACATGTTCGGACGTGTTGCGCGGAATCGACACATAGCTACAATTTATTTTGTGTTATTTATTTCTGTGTTTGTTATATCTATGGAGACTTGAGAGACTCTACTATGCTATGCAAACAAAGTAGAACTAATTCTTCTGCATCAAACAAGAAAAGAAAAACTTTATCTTTGGAATGTAAAATTAACATTGGGTATGTTCGTAAAATTGAATGATTTAAACGAAATAATGTCATCGTTATTCCTATTTCGTTAGATTTTTCGAACAATTCGTTACTAATGCATTTAACTCATTTGACTTTACGAATGTATCCATTATTAAAGACTTCAATACAAAAATGAAAATTTGTGAATTGGCAAAGAAGTTTGATCTACCGGAATTGTTGGTCAGAACAATTATAAAAGGCAAAGAAAAAATTCTCGAAGCCGTGAAAAATGCTCAATCTTTAAATTCAAGCATCATTCGTAAACGTCACAGTATTATCGCTGAGATGGAAACAATGTTAAAATTATGGCGTGATAATCAAGTAAATGTGAAAAATTGTAAAATAATATAGGCCTAATTTGTTATACATATGTATTATCTAAGATTTTATTAAACGTTTTTTTCTAAATTATTGTTTTCTTTAGTCTCCGGCCCCAATTAAAAATGATTTGTATGTATTTATATGCGAAATTATACCCTGACTTACGTGGTTACTGCTCAGTCCCACCTATCGCGTAAGTTCGGGGTATTACTGTATTAGCGGTCAAAATGAGTTGACGAAGGCTACATCCTACGTGGCAGCATCTATTTATCCAGAGATGAACTTGGTCAGTTCCAAACGGCAGTAGAGCTATATCCAACAAATGAGCAAGTTAAAGAAAGCAACGAAAACTACTTGCAGTCAACTGGGTGCCCTGTTGCTTACATTTGTATCTGAAAATACTCCAGATATTGTCCTGCCTTTGTCCAGCAATGACTCAGCTGTTGGTCTCTCCAAGTATTTTAATCTCTCAGTAAATGTCAGAATCATGCTGAGAGTCAACTTATGGGTGCAGGAGGTCTCGTCAATGGTTCACTAGGAACTATACGTTACATTACATATGCTCCTAATGCTCGCCCTCCAGTTCTTCCTCTGTTTATTAACTTCCTCTTCCTCTGTGGAATTGATAGCTATCAGGGACCTTTCATCTATGGTAATCTGTTTCCAATAATCCCCATAACACACTCTTCAAACGATGGCAGTATATTGCAATCTTGTAGACAGTTTCCCCTTACCTTAGCATACTCGATGACTATATCACAGAGATTAACTCTTCCAAAACTCAAAATAGATATAGGTAAAAAAGAGATAGCTATCAATCTTACCTATGTAAGCTATGTTGCATTCAGTCGAGTGAAAAAATAACTGACATAGTATTTTTAAACAGTTACAATAAAGATCGCTACGAGTCAATCTGTAAGTCCAAGGCCCATAGTGATAGATAGAATTTCATGATACGTTGGCATAGCAATTAATTAATGGCTTATTCTGACCTTATATTTATACCTTTAAATGATACAATAGAAATCAAATATATTGTTGAGAGTGAATGATTCTCTCTCTCTTTTTACCCTCATAATCTAGAAAATGAAAGTGCGAGCAGCCTCGCTCTGACTACACACTGATACAGCATTACTTAACTAGTTTAAATTTTTATTGAAACATTTACATTTAAAAGTAAATGTTACAATAAGATTTATATTTTGGTAAAGTAAAAACATAAATAAATAAAAATACTTATTAATTATCAAAATTTGAAAATGAAAAATTTATGAAGTTAAAAAATTTTTTTGCTTTGTTAGCAAAAGAAATATTAAAACTTACTTTCATAACAAACTAATATAGTATCTTTTTCCAGTTGAGTCACATTAATAATCTTCATATGTTCATTACGAGGTACAACTGTTTCTGTTCCATCTTTTTCCTCACCAAACCAATTAGCAGATGAATTTAAATTAATCATGTCCAATTTCATATTACCCCACTCTTTCCTAGATTAACCATTCATTATTGATTTTTAGTAAAACAAATTAATAAATTTTGAGGTAAAATTAATTTTTACCCTTTTCTAACTCCAACACAAATTAATGGATATTCCATATCTGGAGTGATGATCATTTCAAAAACTGATAAATTTGAAGGAATCCAACATTCAAATTGCTTTAATATATAATTAAAATAAACAATTAAAATACTGACAAAAATGTTTAAAGATAAATTTAAAAATTACCTTCAAAAGCATAAATTTATTTAGTGGGTTATACCACTGCATGAGAAAGAGTCCATTGGGCATTGCACCACAAAGATATTTGTAACCATTATAAGGATTTCTTCCAACACAACATTTTAAACAACCTTTAGTATCTGGTACTTTAATTGTTGCAGCAAATCGTCTATATATAACAAATTAATTTCTAACTTACTTTTTATTAAGCATCAATGAAAAAGAACAGAAATTTGATAAATTACCTTGGTACAAATCTTTCTGGAATTTTGTTCATTGTTAATGAAAATCTATTGGAATTTTTGGCATGCAAGAGTAACAAATCATGGCGATACAACTGAGGAGTTTTACCTTAAAACAAAATGTATTTATTAAAACAGATATTTACTTCATTTTTAAGGTAATTTAATTTAAATATTTACCTGAGAGTGTCATGAGCACATTTTGTATTGAAAACATCCAAACTGTCCTCCTTGGACACAACTACAAATGATATTTAATATTTTATTAAAATAATTTGAAAATTTAAAATTAATCAACTTAAAATTTTCATGTAAAAATTCATTAATGTTTTATTTTTCATTTATAATCTCATATGCTCTTTTTGGTTATATTGTAATACAAATTCCAATTAAGCATGGATTTAAAAGTGCAAAAATTTATGATTAGAATTACAAAAATGGCATTAACTGCTTTCTTATTTCAAATACAGCAAGTCTTCATTTAACATCTTTTCATTATAACTTTGTTGAGAAAAGATACATGTAATTACAGTGAAGCCTATCTATAACAGAACCTGTATATAGTGAAAACCTGTCTTTAACAGAAAATTTCTTCAGTTCCTTGAATTTTTTTGCAAAAATTAATGTAAATTAACCTATATATAGCAGAATCTGTCTAATGTGGAAACGGAAAAGAAAATCGGGCCATGTAAATCGGGACCATCGAGCCATCAATATCTTTATCATATTTAACACAAATTCAACAATTAGTTTACAAGCCAACCATCTATAAATCATAAAAAAGTAAAAAACACACATACACAATACAGAATAGCAAAATACCACTACTGTATTACAGTAATTTTATTGGGATTTGAATGGGAAGTTTTTGCATATTTTTATTAACAGCTGTTTTTACTTAACATAAATACGTGATGTAGTTATAAGTTGTGAAATTTAACACATTATTCCTGATATGAATAAAATGCACATTGGGCATATTATGCATGCTTTTTAAGTTTCATAAAGGATATCAGGCTATACAAATAGTAAAAAGTACTCGTAGTGTGTATGGGGATGATGCTTCTAAACTCTAAATGTGGTTTTGAAAGTTTCATTCAGGCTATTTTGAACTAAAGGATACAAAACACATGGGACCCCAAAAGCTGTTGAAAAGAAATTGCGGAAAGAAATTGTTAAAGATTGACAAATAACTCGTGAACTTGCAACAAATTTTAGTGTCAAAGACACATATTGTTGAAACACTTCATCTACTTGAAATAGTTGTAAAACATGCTGATGATTGTGTTTCGCATGCAGTGTTTTTTTTTTTTTTTTACTTATAAAAATTGTATGGAGTATAAATTGTCTGATGAAGGTAGGCAGCTGTAAGGTTTTATTTTATTTCTGAACTGGTTACTCATTTTTTATCTTAGAGAACTTTTTTATGGAGAATAAAAAAAGTAAAGTTAAAATAAAAATATTTGTTATTAACTGAAAATTTGTTCTAGCAGGTGGTGATTGTTCTGTCAAGTACCGAGATGCCACTGTATTTGATTAACACGATTTTGATATACGCAGTATATATTGAGAAATTAATTGCATTAATCAAGGGATACCTATAGTAGGTAACCTGTATATAGCAGAAACCTGACTACTATGGAAGAGTTGTTCAGACCTTTGGAGGTTCCATTACAGACAATTATGTCTGTATGTATAATTATTTTTGTTGAATTTTCTTTATTAATTAATAGTAAAATTGATTCTATGAGGTGGGAGGTAAATGCTAGAGGTTGCAATACAATCCAACAATAATATTAACTAAGTTCTTTTCTTGAAACCTGATTTAATATAATTTGCATTCATTATACTTTCAGTTTTTCTCAAATAATTTGAATCTCTATCCCCACAAACAACATGCAAGACATCACTTAATGTCAATGTACATCAGACAAACTTGTTCTGTTTGCATTTGCCATTTTAAATTTAAACAATGCCCTCTATAGTTCACTGGAATTGCTAATTATATTTCAACTGCATAGTGGGAGGAGGTGTTTCTTACAATTTTTTCTTTACAAACATTTATTCTTTATTACTCATCTTTATCACCACAAGTGATGATTTAACCTTTCTCATCATACCATCCACCACCACTACAATCACAGTCACTCACTGATTCCCAAAATTGGGTAAATAATTATTATCTAACTTGTTTTCAATAATATTTCTTAGAAATATTATTGAATATGACATGTATTCAAATTTTTATATTATTAACAACTGAATTCAAATTTATCTGAGATATTCTATAGAATGATGATGTCATCATATGATATATTTACATAAACAATATAAATTTAAACAATTAACTGAAGACTGATTATTTGAATCAAATTAATAAAATTAGGATTATTAACCATTGGGTTTAATCAATGCAAATTTGTCTTTTCTTAATGTTCCTAATATTTTTCAAATATCAAATAAATAATAACACTTGATTGTAATTGGTAAGAATTAAGAATAAAATTGATAAAATACAGAAAATATGGTTTTATTCTTACCTGATCCATACATGAATCATGTAATTGATTCAAATTGAGTGTGTAAATACCTTCCTCACATCCAATTAATATATGCTGATCTAAAAATAAAGCAATATATTAATTTAAAAACTGACCTAATTTGTAATGTCAGATATTGAAGAATTACTATAATTACAAAACATTTTACAATTGAACTCTTAATTAATTGCACATCATACATTGATTACCAAGACCTTAACTAATAATTAATCTTTGTTTATAATTGGTATTTCTAATCAAAATATAGGTAACAATACTCAGTTCAAAAAAATATATTTACATGCTAATTCAAATGGTTATTTGTTTACAATTATAAAGTAATCAAGAATAAATATTTTATAACTCAACATTTTTAATGCATATTTTTAATAACTAATATCTATTATTTGTTATTATGTCTCAACTCTATAGGATAAATAGAGGATATGACTCTTGTTAAAATTTTCCAGTCTGACTACATCATACACAATAAGAATTTAAGTTTTTATGGATTTATTGATAGAAATTTTAAAACAAATTCAAAAATTTTATTTCTCAAATACCTCGTGTTTCAGGATGTATCCAACTGGCAGTACAATAAATATGGAGTGGACAACCATCAAAGACTTTTGAAAAACATGCACCCATCTAAAAATGAAGTTTAAAACCTTTTAAACATAGAAGAATAATCTTCAGAAATTATTCTATAAAATAATAATAATAATAGACAAAAATTAGTACTAACGTGAACTTTAGGAGTTGGTGGTAAACCATTACTAACAGGTTTCTATGGAAAAAATTAGTTTAATTAAAAATAACATCTAATAATCAGTATAATGTAATTAACAATACACTTAATTATACAATAATTAGCATATATGCTTGTGAAAGTATGTTTTTTATTGTTATTGTCATAATTTTATTTATTGAATATAGAAAAAAAAACAAAGTTTACAATGACAAAAATGAACCACAATCAATCACATTATTCTACATCTAAAGTTGGAAGATTAAATTATAACTTTTTATTATTTTCATTTTGGACACTAAGAGAGTCTTTTCTCCAGGAACATTAAGGGTTTGGCCAGGCCTATAATGGAGCAGTCAGGTGGTGAGGGATGGTACACAACATATCTGGGACAGACCACAATGAAAAATTTATGCCCAGATTCAATCTTGGATCCCCAAGAGCATTAGGCTGATGCCTTAACTGCTTCATACATTTGGTCAGCCAAACTGCAATTTAAACAATATTCTCTCATCTGGTCATTTGCCATTTTCTCTGCATGGGACATCCATCTATAATATTCTGTATAATGAACCTATTTTTTAATCTGTCTATAATTTAATGTTTAAATATAATTTGTAAGTATAAAATTAATTTGTTGGGCTGCAATTTGAAAAAATTGTAGACCTATAAATTCCCACTGTTGTCTGTCTGTTTGTCTTTCCTTAATTTCAAGAATGGAGTTAGATAGATGAAAGACAAAACCAGATATGAAAATCTTAGGGGCAGGAGGCCCTTAGTAATTATATACAAACTTCCAATGCAAACCAGAAGTCACATTATTTCAATTCAAAACCTTTCCTCTGAAAGCAGTTAACAGATAACTAGCACGACTTGAGTGTTAATGGAAAAGCATAATATACAGGAGCAAGACTACAGTACTAATTTAAAGTGAAGAGTATTGCAGCCCAGCATTGTGATGATGTCACAAATAATTGCTTGTAATAGTATATAATATATAAGCATAAATTCAATCGTAAAATTAAATGTTTTTACTATTCTTAATCTACAGTTTTTCAATCATATGACATCATTTCCCTACTTCAAATTAAAATATATTATACATCTCAAATACTTTTAAATAAAAAAAATTTTATAACTATAATTAAATATAAAATTTATGTACAAAGTGCATTAGTAGTAGTACAACAATGTTTGAAGCATTGAAATTAAAAGCATTAGTTTTATTGCAAATGAAAAACTTTGTTTATATAAATTAGATGTCAACAAACCACTTGGATGATTTTCTATCTTGTGGTCAACTTGTGCTTCACCAATATTGGTGCAGGCTTGAAGTGCTCTATAGCATTCCTACTTCTAATGCACAATGTATCTACATTCTACATCACAAAACTATTGTTCTGTACATTGTGAGTGATAATTTGATGAAGAAGATGCATTCATTTTGTCTCACATGTCTTAACAGCTGAACAAAAAAAAAAAATTGAATCACGTTTTGTCACGATATAGTTATATTTGTATGAGAAATCAACTAAATGTGATGTACTGTACATATATGTCGATAGCAATAGCATAATTAATGTTTCCCGTGAGTCAAAGAAAGGTTTCCATAAGCATATATCATATATCAATATTTTTTATTTGGTTATATAATAATGAGTATACTTTTCATTTCAAATTTGAGTTAAGAATTAATTAATGGAATAAAACAAAAACAATTATACAGCAATGAGAAATATCTTTAGAAAAGTTTTTGAATTCAGTTTATTTTACTTACAGGCGATGCTTGTTTTTTCTTGTAATTTCCATCTTCACTATTTTCATCATCAGCATTTTCTTTTTCATCTTCTTCACTCAATTGATTACTTTGATCAGAATCATCAACTTTTTTATATTCTTCTACAAAAATATTAAATTTATGAAGAATTTATAATTCTTTATTTAAAAATTTTAGAAATACTTGAATATCTATATAATATTTCAATTTATTATTTATATCTTAACATACCCTCAGAAAGTTGTTCTTCACTGCTTGCTATTCTATCAATAAATGATATCTTAGATAATTCTTCAGTACCTTCAGTTTCTGTTGAGGTATTCTATTCAAAATTAAATATATAAAAATATTTTATCAAAATTTAATTTAAATTATTAGAACTATTACAAATATATACATAATGAAATTCAAAATGGTCATATAAAGAAATAATAAAGTAATTCAAATAATACTTAAGCCCATTAGAAAAACTAGTTTGCAAATCTTACTTTTTCTCTATTATCCTTCATTGGCAGTGTGCATCTGTAACATTTTATGAAAAATATTATATCAGATATGTCTTAAAATTTATAAAAGTGTATTATATTTTAAATGTAGCAGCATTTTAGAAGAGTTATTCATTCAATATTTGATTACTAGAACTGTGTAATAAAAATATTGACTTGTATCTTACTGATAATTTGATAAGCTAACTTAAACAAATTTCTAAATATTGAAGTTATTATTATAAATTATTTTATCATTATTTCATAAAATATATTTATATAGATAGATAATAAAGTAAGTCCAATAAGACAGCTGCATTTACATCTCTGATGTTTTGAAACCATCATCAAAATACATTTATAATGAATATTAAATCTGTTTGTAAAAGTTGTTCAAGCATTCATTTTAATATCATTCATAACAATAACATTTATCTTCACATTTAAAAACTATTATACATTATCCATCTGTCAATTTTATCCCAGAAATGATGTTGAGAAACTTTAAAATGCTTTTTATTCTTCTAAAAAGCAGAAATTCAGAAATTATCCTGAGATTTTAAAGTTTATTTCCTCTTACATCAACATCTCTTATTCCCCTTGTATCAGTTACATCCAAATTATTGATATTTAAATTAAAATTTGCATATTTTCTTGCTAAGATGATTTTAAAAAGTTAAAGATTAAAGAACAAGGAAACACTGAAAAACAAACTATTAGAAAAATTGATAATCAAAAATTAATGTTACAGTGTAAATAATTTATTTTAGAATAAATTCAGAAAATAATTTTTATTATTATATGAAAAAGCTTTCAAATGCAAAGTCATGCTGTTAAATTGTTTATGCAATTGAAAAGAAATTTTCTATTCATTCTTTACTTCATAACTGGATACATAGGTAGACACTGGGCATCTTTAACATCACTCTGTATTCAAGAATATCTTACAGCATCTAGTGGAAACCAACCTCACCAGTGAAGGCTAAGAGCTGTTCAGTGCACTGTCAGGAAATTTTAATTGTAAATGTATATATTTTAAAAAAGTATATGTATTAGTTAGCACCGCTTTACTAAATGTCTAAAAAAAAAAATATATCAGTAAAAATATTTTGTGTTTATAACAAGAAAAAGTAAAAATTATTCAATATTAGCAATACTAAAGTTTGTGTAAAAAACTAAAATAAATAAATAAAAAATAATGAAGGTTGAAATAGGAAATAGAAAATTCAAGCTTAAAAATATCAGAAATAAAATGAAAAAAAAAAAATCTTACTGCTCTGAAAATTTAAGATCTTCTTCTAATTCAGCCAAGAACTTATTATGTACTCTCCTGAAATTTTAGTAGATTAGCTTAATATTAGTAACATTTAGTATCTATATCTTTAGTTTTGTCATAAAATGTTGACTAAATTGTTATTTTATTTAAAATGCATTATTTTTATAATTATTATTATTTCATAAAAATGGATATTTCTATTACTTTTATAAAAAGAAAATAAAAATCATCATCAGATTACCTGGAAAATGTTATTGTATTTCATTACTTTGTTTAATGCTTATTTATATATCTGATATTTCTTATCAGTTAAATAATTTTCTTCATCTCCAATAAATTTTTTTCCTATTTTTTAAACTCAATTCTGTTTATCTTTCTTTTGTAAAAGGTTTGATCTTTATTCAAAAAAAATTTATCAAATGCATCCTATGTAAACAATATCCATAAAAAATGTTTCATAGAAAAAAATAAATGAAAGTTAAATAATCCAATATAAAAAGTGTGTGATGGATGTGATGAATATTTTCAACAAAGCTTTTTTTCCCCTTAGACAATTTTCATAATCATCATATAGCAGATGTTTGTCTTTATCTGCATAATGCTTGGAATTTACTAACAATTACTATGTTTAATTACTTGATTTTTCTGAAAATAGCATGCAGTCAGAATGGGTGCAAGAACATTAGATAAGCTGTTTTCCTAAAAGAGCAATTTGATATATTTATTCATGTATAATATAAAAAAAACAAAATTAATGGAAAGTAATTTGGACATATCAAAAATTCAAATTTCATTGTCATAGGATTTTATGAAGAATTTATTAATTTTAAAACAGTGGATGTGAGATTTTTATTCATACTCTGTAAACAAATAAATAATATTGTTATGTAAGGTCTTATGCATTCAAGTTACTTTACTTGAAAGGAAATTATTTTCATTAGCTGGATCATTTTTCCTATTTCTTAAAATGATGATGAATTTAAGTTACTTTGAATAAATACATAAAAATAATTATCTAACTTTTTTATTTATTCTTACAGTTACAAAATAAGAAACAATTTTTAAATAAGTAAAATGATAGATTTGTTTTTATATTAATACTCATTTAAATTTATTGTTTGCATAATCACTTTGCTAGACTTTAAAAAATTCACTTATATAAAACAGAAGATAATGCTATTGAGTTATGAAGAGCTTTGAATGATTTTCCACAAGTGAATCTAGGTTTATACTACCAAAGAACTTTTTTGTAGTTGATCAAGAAAAATTTCCATTTGAAGAAATAACAACTTAACTGAAGAATTAACAAAAAAGAAATGATGTTTCATTTGAGAGTAAAGTTGATAATGATAAAAGATAAGTTTGTGAAATGAAAGCTAAAGAAACTAAAATGTGTGTTCACAAAATTTATGGTATCTTCAGGAGAATTAAAATGACAAAGATGTTATGCTCTTAACATTTATAAAAAATAACGACAACAACCAAGAAAAAGTTCAAAACTATTGATAGATAATGCAAAAATATCTTTTCAAAAAAGTTTTTTATTATTTGCATTGTATACCTGCAATGAATTATTGTTGTTTATATTTCTTTACCATTAATAGTACAAAAGCTTCATAAGCAAAAATAAAGCATTCTAAAGCATGGAGGATGTGTTATGATTTTTTTTATAAAATTTCTTACTGTAGATTTGTGCTAAATGTCATGTAATATTACTGAAACTTGAATTAAGTCTTCAAAGTGAAAGTTATATAAGTTTTTTGTTTTAGAGATCTATATTTTCAAATTCTAACACAAATATAAGAACATGTTAATCTGTAAATATTCTGTTATATAAAACAAACTATTTTGAGTTTTACTTTCTTAATATACCTTCATTGTCAAATTTTAATTTTTGATTCATATCTAAATTTTTCATGACTAAAACACTTGTAAAACTTCTCCACTATCTAGACCTCAATAATAAATATTGATACATACAGTAATATATTGATAAATATTGGTGTTTTATACTTGTTATATATTACACATTGATAGCAATGATTATCAATATTAATTTTAAAAAAATACTTAAATGTTTTAAGTTTCCAAATATAAGAAATTAAGATGAAAATTCAATAGCAATTCTTTAAAAATTTTTTTCATATTAGATTACAAGTAATAGAATCAATAGTAGAAAAATTTTAATTCTAACATTATTGCAGGGAATTTTTTTTTTAATATAAAATTTCTTAATGTAGCAAATTTTTCAAAATATATTTATATTAACTATATCTTTAATGACTAAGTTCTGATCAAAAACTGAAAATAACAAGGAATAATTGGAGACATTACAAAGAAAATGATATGGACTCAAACTTATTTTGCTAACAAGTGTTCTTGAATTTTCAAAAAAATTTTGAATAAAAATATTTACTATACACTCTTACTTAGTAGTAACTAAATTGTGAAAACCAAAGAGACGGAGGAAAAATGATTCAAGCAATATAATTTATTAGTTACTCTGTATCATGAATACTTTAATTAGATATTGATATATCAAGTATTGGAAAATTATCAATATCCTTTCAAAAAGTAAATAAATGAAGTTAGTAAGAAAAAGTGCAGTTAAGGGAAATATGTATTTTTCAATAATTTTTGATTAATTTTGATGAAAAAGTTTATATATGAAATTCATTGATTCATTTTTTGGCAATATTAAATTGTTCTCTAGTTGAATTTTAAATGGTAGCTGTATTACGTATTATATAGGTAAATGTCTCTTCAATCCGAACAAAATTTCGGTAGACTTTCTCACAGCTCTACAGGTTAAAAATCTCCTTTATTGTTTTTCACATATGCATTTCGGGCAAGTTTAATTTTCCTGCCCCTCTTCAGTGCTACAAAACAAATTCATATTGAATTTACACAAAACAACTTTATAGTAGAAAATGCTTACAAGACATAAAAAGACACTTTATAATACCTTAAGATTTTCCCACATGTTCTTTCATCTTTTTTACAGTACTTGTACTATCAATTTACAATGTTTTCAAATTTATAATTTCCTCTTAAGGGTGTTTTACATCGAAATCCGTACCATTATGCTACACAACTAATTACAAATTATAATTATTAGTAACATTTTAAATCACTTATTTATAACAAATTTTTTCCNCACTGTGAGAAAAATATATATAAACGTAAATTCAAAGAACATATAGAAATAATGAAATACAGTGGTAATAATTTAATAAACATTTCCAATGGCATGCAAATCGACCAGCAATGGTATAACATGATAGGGGGCGCAACAAGTCAATAGTTTATATTTCTAAGATTATACATTGTCGTGAAAATTTTATTGTATGTTGAACCTTTTTAAAGTTTATACAACGTATACTACTCTGTTATTGTTGTGACACTTTTAAAGAAAAACATGTATGTATTTTTTTTAGTAAATATTTTTTTAAAGGAAAAAATTTGTTATAAATAAGTGATTTAAAATGTTACTAATAATTATAATTTGTAATTAGTTGTGTAGCATAATAGTACGGATTTCGATGTAAAACACCCTTAAGAGGAAATTATAAATTTGAAAACATTGTAAATTGATAGTACAAGTACTGTAAAAAAGATGAAAGAACATGTGGGAAAATCTTAAGGTATTATAAAGTGTCTTTTTATGTCTTGTAAGCATTTTCTACTATAAAGTTGTTTTGTGTAAATTCAATATGAATTTCTTTTGTAGCACTGAAGAGGGGCAGGAAAATTAAACTTGCCCGAAATGCATATGTGAAAAACAATAAAGGAGATTTTTAACCTGTAGAGCTGTGAGAAAGTCTACCGAAATTTTGTTCGGATTGAAGAGACATTTACCTATATAATTGTTCTCTAGTGTTAAAAAAATCAATCAAATAATACGGAATGTCTATAATAAACTGTTTTCATATTATTTGCCATAGTAGCTTCTTTTTTCATCATATCATGTGACTCAAACTCATTTACAGACCTATTACTACACACGACTCTTTATTATTTACCATTCTTCAATTTAGTGTCAATTTCAAAAGTGAACACAAATGGTGGACTTAAATTGAAGTTAGACTGTATTTCAATAACATTCAATATTAAGATCATATGTCAAGATAATTTAATAATTTAAGTTGAGTATAATAAAACTTTTACATTTCAAAAATATTATAGTAGTTAGTTTTAGTTTAATATATATTTTAACTTCAAAGACATTTTGTATTTTGAATTTTGTTGTAATTTTTTTTATTTTTTGTGCTTACTCTGAAATTATAAGTATTAAAAAAGTGCTCATTTACAAAAAATGTTATGAACATCTCTATAGATTACTAATAGCTTTGCTTTTAATTGTTCTAAATTTGTAAAATATGCAGTTATACCAAAATTATCAATTTCTAAAATATTTGAAAAAGATATATGTATTATTTCCATCTTAATCTAACAAAAATATATATATTTTTTTATTTAAAATTCAAAATATATATTGATATATATACACTAGNTAACTATATCTTTAATGACTAAGTTCTGATCAAAAACTGAAAATAACAAGGAATAATTGGAGACATTACAAAGAAAATGATATGGACTCAAACTTATTTTGCTAACAAGTGTTCTTGAATTTTCAAAAAAATTTTGAATAAAAATATTTACTATACACTCTTACTTAGTAGTAACTAAATTGTGAAAACCAAAGAGACGGAGGAAAAATGATTCAAGCAATATAATTTATTAGTTACTCTGTATCATGAATACTTTAATTAGATATTGATATATCAAGTATTGGAAAATTATCAATATCCTTTCAAAAAGTAAATAAATGAAGTTAGTAAGAAAAAGTGCAGTTAAGGGAAATATGTATTTTTCAATAATTTTTGATTAATTTTGATGAAAAAGTTTATATATGAAATTCATTGATTCATTTTTTGGCAATATTAAATTGTTCTCTAGTTGAATTTTAAATGGTAGCTGTATTACGTATTATATAGGTAAATGTCTCTTCAATCCGAACAAAATTTCGGTAGACTTTCTCACAGCTCTACAGGTTAAAAATCTCCTTTATTGTTTTTCACATATGCATTTCGGGCAAGTTTAATTTTCNATATATAATTAATAGAATATAGAATAATTTTAAGAATAAGAAACTCAAGTTAAAATACATTATAAAGTAAAAAATAGTATTGCTCAAATTCTAAATGTTAAGAAAAGATTACAATTTAATTCTCTAATACAAACAATTCTGATCATCAATGAAAAAACAAAAATAAAAATTATTAAAAAATAAATGGTATTATTTTTTCTTTTCATTTTTGATGCTACATTCTAAGGACATTAAACAACATTTTTCTAATTATACCACTCATGAGTTTGATCAGACTCACAACAGGGAGAGCCAGATGGAAAGGAATGGGATGGGCTCTGTCCCGACTTACCACCTAGCTACCACAGACAGAGCATCTACAAAAAACTGAGTTCCCTACCCAAATTTGAGTGCCAAGTTGTTTTTTACTGTCTTGGCCATCCATCCACTAACTGTTAAAGTTTTGTAGATCTTCCATAAATAAAATAATTAATAGTGGTGTTATCATCATTAAATAGAAAAGTTTTCAATTATCAAATACATGTACTTACTTTTTCTGAACTTGATGATAAGTTGGTAACAAGAGGAGAATTAAACTGTATACTTTCCACTGGAAAAATTAATTAATTATTTTTAAAAATTAGAATTAAATATTCTTGTCTTTAAAATAAGTAATAGTTCTTACTATGAAGTTCTGACTGAGTTTTCAAAGGACACCTTGCAGATCGTTTGGATGAAATTCTCCTTGGTACATTTGATAATATCTAAGTTCAAAAAATAAATAAATATATGTGAATTGCTATAAGTTATTTAAAAATTATAATTTTTAAACGTTTCTATTAATTAAACACAGCACAATATTATTATTTAGAGTTAGAGATGATTAATTAAGTTTTTATCAATAGAGATACAAAAGCACTATCATTACAATAAATCTTTAATTATTATTCTTACAACACACTAATTTAATTGTAATTAATAAATAACAAATTAAATCTATATAATTTATTTGTAAAATTAAAAATAACTTTTTTTTATTAAATTCCAATAATTTAAATATAAAAAATTTCAAAATGTCAAGCAATAATAACAAATATTACTATTTTTATTATAAACTACATATGAAATTTTCTTTAAATTCATAAGAATTCTTACAACTCCTTATATCTGATAAAAAAAAANAAACAATAACTCTTAACAATATTGCAAATGAAATCCAGATGATATAAATATGATTGCAATAATGAAAAAGTAAAAAATAGTACTTTTTAAAAACCAAAATTCTACAAGATATTGAAAACTTTAACATTATAATTTAGAATAGCAGAGTTCTTAGACAATAATTTTCTCAAAATTTTATGATTAGTAGTTGTATATAGATGATTTAAAATAACATTTTTCACTTAAATTATTAATTTTCCTATATTCCTATCATTTTTCTGTCTTACAGATAATTAAAATAAAATTTTTCCTAATTGTATTTTGCAATTTACACATATTATTTTACAATATCTACTATTAAGAGAGATTGGAATTAGTAATAATTAGATTGAAATTAATTATAAATTGAAAAATTATCCCTCTCTATTTCCCATTTTGCAAATCATAAATAATTCATGCAGACATTTAATGATCAGATTCTGTCAAATTTTAACTGCTGAAATTTTTCAGATGTACTGTTTATTACAATTTTTATTTTAGATCACTAATTTTAAAAAATCTATTATTACAAATAAATGAATTCTAAGTACTTTTGCAAATTTTTTAAAATTTATTGAATGCAATTATTAAATCTGTAGATTGTATTATGTCAGAACTATAAAGATCTTTGTAAATTTGAATTCTTGTACAGATGTAAAATATTTAATATAAAAATCTTTCTCACACAATTGTAAATAAAAATTTTGATTATATTATCCTCCAACTTATATCACTCTAATTATTACTTTACCTAAAAACACCTACTTGTGAATAACTTCCGATGACTCTGAATCTTGTTCCATCCATGCCGATGCTAGATCATAACCATTTTCTGTTTCTGGTATCTATAATTTAATACATGTGAATTTAAGTACTCAAAGTTTATAAAAATTATAATACAAAAGTATGTTTTTTATTATTGAAAAATTTGTAAAGATGCAAAATATCAGTTATACTGTTTGTCAGAACAATAAATAGAAATATTTTCTCTCATTCACTCTTAGAACCTAGCATTAATATATTTGATATTTTTATAATTATATATATTGCAGTTTATAAATATATTATAATAAAGCAAAAATTTTTAACTTTAAAGAAGTAAACAATAAATATACTAACTTTGCAGAAATAAACAAGTATCATATTGAGAGAGCCATACAATTTTTCATCATTCATACTTTCTCAAAATTTCAGTGTATTTAGTATAATTATGTGTACAGTATGTACAGTAATGTGTAACATTACATACTTGTGTACAGTATGTAACATTACATATTGTTATTGAAAATTGTATCATTTTAGTTCTACAATTTATTAAATTCATTTAATAATAAATAAAAAGTTCCTAAAATGACAAAACAGCCTTAATTCTAACAGATTTATTTTTAAGTTACTGCAGACCTCTATCTACAATTTATTACATAAATTTGAAAAATGAAAAATTTACAATTTTTAATTGTTTATTTATAATTAGGTTAAATGTAATTACTGAATTATAAACATTAGATGACAAGATTGCTTAATCATCATGTTTGTCTTTTAGAACTATTATTATTTGCATTTGAGTGACCTGCATTATTTTCCATTTAAAATTTCTCTCTCATGAGTTTTTTCTGAAAAAAATGAGTGAGTGAGAGAGAGAAAAACTGTTTTTTTTTCAACTACCATAATAGCTATCTTTAAGTTATAAACATAGAAAAAAGTAATTAATATATTTAAAAATGCAAAAACAAAAAAAATTCAACTCAAAAATTTCTTTAATTTGTATTTAAAATTATTTTTTACTTTTTTATTGTTAAATTATATATAAACAATATATTTTATTCATTCATTAAAATATTGTTTTGCAAAATTTTGACGTTAAAAAAATTAAATATATAATTAATAGAATATAGAATAATTTTAAGAATAAGAAACTCAAGTTAAAATACATTATAAAGTAAAAAATAGTATTGCTCAAATTCTAAATGTTAAGAAAAGATTACAATTTAATTCTCTAATACAAACAATTCTGATCATCAATGAAAAAACAAAAATAAAAATTATTAAAAAATAAATGGTATTATTTTTTCTTTTCATTTTTGATGCTACATTCTAAGGACATTAAACAACATTTTTCTAATTATACCACTCATGAGTTTGATCAGACTCACAACAGGGAGAGCCAGATGGAAAGGAATGGGATGGGCTCTGTCCCGACTTACCACCTAGCTACCACAGACAGAGCATCTACAAAAAACTGAGTTCCCTACCCAAATTTGAGTGCCAAGTTGTTTTTTACTGTCTTGGCCATCCATCCACTAACTGTTAAAGTTTTGTAGATCTTCCATAAATAAAATAATTAATAGTGGTGTTATCATCATTAAATAGAAAAGTTTTCAATTATCAAATACATGTACTTACTTTTTCTGAACTTGATGATAAGTTGGTAACAAGAGGAGAATTAAACTGTATACTTTCCACTGGAAAAATTAATTAATTATTTTTAAAAATTAGAATTAAATATTCTTGTCTTTAAAATAAGTAATAGTTCTTACTATGAAGTTCTGACTGAGTTTTCAAAGGACACCTTGCAGATCGTTTGGATGAAATTCTCCTTGGTACATTTGATAATATCTAAGTTCAAAAAATAAATAAATATATGTGAATTGCTATAAGTTATTTAAAAATTATAATTTTTAAACGTTTCTATTAATTAAACACAGCACAATATTATTATTTAGAGTTAGAGATGATTAATTAAGTTTTTATCAATAGAGATACAAAAGCACTATCATTACAATAAATCTTTAATTATTATTCTTACAACACACTAATTTAATTGTAATTAATAAATAACAAATTAAATCTATATAATTTATTTGTAAAATTAAAAATAACTTTTTTTTATTAAATTCCAATAATTTAAATATAAAAAATTTCAAAATGTCAAGCAATAATAACAAATATTACTATTTTTATTATAAACTACATATGAAATTTTCTTTAAATTCATAAGAATTCTTACAACTCCTTATATCTGATAAAAAAAAACATCAACACGGTTAGTTAATATTATACTAATGGTACTAATTTTAATGTAAATTATATCTGCTAAAGTTATTGCTTCATTTAAATAATGTTTATTTTATTTGTAGAAAAACTTTAATGCCTACAGTTATTTACAGTAGAGATTTATCATGTAAATGTGGTCTTTGTTTCCTATTTATGAGGAAAAATAAATTTTTCTGTAGCAGATTTTGGGTGCCTTTGTTGTTTGTATTTTCCTATGGAATTTTTCTAGTTTAATATTATATAACTCCAAATGAATAAATAAATATTGGAATGATAAAGATATTTACTGCTTTAAAGAAATAAATATCTTTATATGTTCTGCTTTCATATATATTATTATATTAAGTTTAACCTATCTAAATATTATAGACTTTATTCTTATCTATGGATTCTATTACAGTTCCAGTTCCAAGTACAAAGTCCTCCTCCTACAAATTTTTTTCCTACATAAAAGGTTTTGCATTTGTCTAGGCTGAACCCAATTTATATATCATTAGAATGCATGAATGTAATTTTTTGATGATAATTGATTTGTGTTTATATGGATACATATGTTTTATATTACTCATGTGCAGTTTATGAGATAATGTGCATACTTTGTATTAGTTTGTATTAAATATCTTTAACACAATATAATTTATTAAATAGCATTTGTATTTCAAATGTAAAATAATTTTTAAAACTGAATGTTTACTTATCTAAAAAGAGATTTGGAAATCTAGATATTGTAAAGCTTTATTTGAAGCAATGATTCACTCTACAGTATTGTTATTTTAAAACAAATTTACTTATCTTATACAAATAACTTCTTAAATTTCAAAAGCTAATTCTTTAACAAGTTAATTAATTTTTATTATATGATAATTAAAAGTATGAAATATTTTTTGAAAAACAAAAAATAAAATAAAATTTTACCCCATCTTCGTTTTGATCAAGTTCACTATAAATTTGAATTCTTGTACAGATGTAAAATATTTAATATAAAAATCTTTCTCACACAATTGTAAATAAAAATTTTGATTATATTATCCTCCAACTTATATCACTCTAATTATTACTTTACCTAAAAACACCTACTTGTGAATAACTTCCGATGACTCTGAATCTTGTTCCATCCATGCCGATGCTAGATCATAACCATTTTCTGTTTCTGGTATCTATAATTTAATACATGTGAATTTAAGTACTCAAAGTTTATAAAAATTATAATACAAAAGTATGTTTTTTATTATTGAAAAATTTGTAAAGATGCAAAATATCAGTTATACTGTTTGTCAGAACAATAAATAGAAATATTTTCTCTCATTCATTCTTAGAACCTAGCATTAATATATTTGATATTTTTATAATTATATATATTGCAGTTTATAAATATATTATAATAAAGCAAAAATTTTTAACTTTAAAGAAGTAAACAATAAATATACTAACTTTGCAGAAATAAACAAGTATCATATTGAGAGAGCCATACAATTTTTCATCATTCATACTTTCTCAAAATTTCAGTGTATTTAGTATAATTATGTGTACAGTATGTACAGTAATGTGTAACATTACATACTTGTGTACAGTATGTAACATTACATATTGTTATTGAAAATTGTATCATTTTAGTTCTACAATTTATTAAATTCATTTAATAATAAATAAAAAGTTCCTAAAATGACAAAACAGCCTTAATTCTAACAGATTTATTTTTAAGTTACTGCAGACCTCTATCTACAATTTATTACATAAATTTGAAAAATGAAAAATTTACAATTTTTAATTGTTTATTTATAATTAGGTTAAATGTAATTACTGAATTATAAACATTAGATGACAAGATTGCTTAATCATCATGTTTGTCTTTTAGAACTATTATTATTTGCATTTGAGTGACCTGCATTATTTTCCATTTAAAATTTCTCTCTCATGAGTTTTTTCTGAAAAAAATGAGTGAGTGAGAGAGAGAAAAACTGTTTTTTTTTCAACTACCATAATAGCTATCTTTAAGTTGAGCTGCCATGTTACCTTTCAATTTAAAACTATTATGAAAACATTTTTCTTTCGATAAAGTAAACATCTTTAAGTTACAAGCATAGAAATAAATATAATTTAAATTGTTTGAATGAATACATTTTACTGCATAAAATTTAAATTTTTAAAAGTGTTTAAAATGAAATAAGGGTAATATTTAGATAAACTTTCCATTATCAATCAACGAATCAATCACAAAAATACTATAGATATATGAAGATAATGATTAAAATAATGCAAATTATGTGTTAATTGACGATGGAAAGTTTAGCCAAAAATCATAATTAAAAAAGAAACATTATAATTCAAGTGAAATAAGAATTTTTATTAGTATTTAGACTGACAAATACTTCACAAGAACTCCTATTAGATTTAGATAGAATAGTTCATCAGAGATAGAAAATATTGATAATACGTAATTATATTACATTATTTTGATAATTTTATTTACTAAAAAAGCCATATATCCATATAAAATATCTTTCCAATTCATTACTATTCTTTACCTAATTTCTCATATCTTTATTTTGTATAGAAAATGAGAAATTTAAGGCATTATAATTCAAACAATCACAATAAAATAGCGAACAAATATTGTTTATAAAATCAATTTTAAAGCAATTTCGAGCAATTTAAATTCTCGAATGCTAAATTTTCATAATCATTTTCTCTACGAAAAATACCAGCAAAACGTATAATTGATTAAGTTTTGAAGATGATATCTTATTAATATTGTAATATGCAGTTTTCTGTTAATATACTTAGTTTATATAATCCTAATTCAAAATACAAATAGTTGAAGTGTGATTACTAATTTTAGTTTTAATAATTATAATATTTTCAAGAAATGAAATATGTTAATGAGTTAAAAATTATTTTCTTCGTAATTATTAAAATAAAATGAGCAATGTCGTCACTGTAAATAGTATGCATGAATAATTGAGATAAATTCAATTTGTCTAAGCTATCAGCATATATCAAAATTACTTTCTACAAGAATTTGTGTTAAAAGGTTTGTTATAATTAGTTCAAAAATTTCTCAAATTCTAGAAACGATAAAAATGCATTGTTATTAAATATAACTTTGAAATTGTCCAGTTATACCATTCTGTTATTCGATTATGTAGTTAATATATTGGAAATAAAACATTAAAAAACAAACTAAGAATTTTTCGAAATGTCAAATTCACAGAATAAATCTAATAGTATTACTGTAGAGTATAGAGAATAAATTTATTACTTTATTTTCTGAGTTGCTGAAGAACTATCTTCGAAAGCTAAATCTGGATAGCCATTGTATAAACTAAATAGTTTTTACAGTAATCGAAATGGTGTTTTAAATCTATCAATTTATTTAATATAACATTCAAAATCTCACTGTTTTTATAGGAGAAATAATAACAAAAAGAAAAAAAGCAAATTATGTTAACATTTAAGACTTGATTTTTCTTCCTACATAAATAAAAAAGATATTTTTTTAGCCATTAATATTTTTAAATTATTAAAAAATAGAGCCTTTAACTAAAAAAAATGAATGGCACACCGTCAATAATACTTCATTAAAATTTATATTATATTTATGTTTTGCTTTTATTCAGAACATCATTTAACTAATCTCATTTAGTAGAAAAGCTCTTTACAATAATGAAATTATGTTTATATGTCCATAGACCTTTTATCTTATTATTTAGCTTAATTAGATAACGAGATTCAAACTTCCATGGTTATTTAAATGCTATGGCCATTACAGATGTATGAATGTTATAATTAATTCAAGTATCTATAATAATTTTTTTTAAATAAACGGCATCATGTATAAATTTAAAATAAAATAAGTTTATTATTTTTATTTTTATTTCAATTTCGCAATTATTTGTAGAATAGACATAGGAGAATGAATCTATTTGAATTTGTTTGTTTTTAAAGAAGATAACTGAAATTTACTTAACAAATGAAAAGTAAATAATTTCTGTAAATTATTTTGCAATNAGAAATAATAACAATTAAATATTACTTGTAATAATCTGTCAGCAGAAGGCCTTTTTTTAGAATTTTTAGTAAGGGCTACTTTGACAAAATGATGAAATGTTGGTGACCTAAAAATAACATATCTTTTCTTGAATATGAAAAATTTAGTTTTTAAAATATTTAGCAATGTTTAAAATTAATTTACATTAAAGAAACAGATTTTATTTTTACAAAACACTGAAAAATTATTCATTTGTATTTTTCTATTTACAGTAGATATAACTTTATGAACAGTTTTTGTTGGATTGGAATAATCAAAAATGATTTTTAAGCTAAAAAGATTGAAACTAAATTTCTGATTCAACTCTATATTTTTAAAGATAAAATAATAATAATAATAAAAGTCAACAATTAAATATGTATGATTCTTTGAGAGCTACAAAAGCTATGGAAGGTTTAGCTAAATTAGATACTTTCATACAAAAACTCTCATTTTTTTTCATTTTAAGTTATTATATAAAAATTATAATAAAACTATCAAACAATTTAAATTTCATAATGAGTAAAGTTATCTAAATTAATTTATTTAAAAACTGTTCAAGAATTAATTTAAATAAATTTTTCAATAATCTCATCAAATATTTTAAAAAAATTTTAAAGTGATAATTTGTATTAGTTTAAACTAAGTTTACAAATAAAGTTATAGTAATTTTTGAGATCAATCTATAAAGATTATCAAATTCATTGTATTTAGGAAAATTTTGTTTTATCATTTCCATATAATAATTTAAAATTTTAAAGCAAATACAAAATAATAACTTAAGCATTCAGGTTATTGGTAAATCCAGATGCACACTTCTTTAAACCAGATGATCCAGTAAATACCTGCTTAAATAGATGATATCTCAATATGTTCTATTTAATAGTCTACTCTCTTTATCAAAGTAACAAAAATATAAAAACTTTGTCTCTTCCATCAATACCAAATGGTAAAATTTAAAAAAAATCAAATAATAGTAATAGATTAACTTATTTCAGAATTTTGAATAATCCAGATTCAAAATATAAACCAGACCTAATAAGAATATATTATATTCATGATCTGGTTTATATTTTGTAGATCTGTTACATAAGAAATAAATTTATAAAATGTATTCAATTTTAAATCAATAGAGCATCTTACAATCAAGGACATCTTAGAATTGAAGATATACAGTCAGTAGTATTGTGAAAAGTGTCTTATTTATCAAATTAGAAGTTTGAATGATTGACATCTGGCATTACTCAGTTGATGAGAAGTTTACTACATTTTATATTTAATAGTTTGGATGTAAGATATATTTCATCTTCTATATATATATATATATATGATGATGAAATATATATATTTTTATATATATAAATTTAAAAAGAATTATAATATATCTATTACCATTTAAATTTATCTCTCAGTTGTGGAGGCTTAAAGTTTGATTTTGACATAAGAAAAAGCACTCTCATTGGATGTAAATCAAACATTGGTGGTTGAAGTTCTGCTAACTCTATTGCTGTAATTCCAACAGCCCAGATATCACATTGTTGATTATAACCACCCTTCCTTTCAACTGCAGCAACTTCTGGTGCCATCCAATATAAAATTTAATTTTTTTTATGTATTAACGTTATATATGAGATACAAATAGTCTGGAATAACTTGCATTTTCTCTACACGGCTGCGGGCCTAGGGCATTTTTTAAAACACTATTTTATGCAGTAAACAGTTCATCAGATTGACAAATGTATGTTGTCCCGCATATAAAATTACTAACAGAGATTTCTTTCTCTAAACTTGTGCGGTGAATATCTTTTATCTAAAGACGGTTTTTTTTCTTTTTGTTAAGAAACACTCTTGAAATAAGAATGGTAACAAAGAAAGAAGAATAAAAACCGCAAGTCTAAACAATACTGTGTTCTGCCGACCGCGTATCTAATTAGTATTCGTCGACCGGACCATATCCGGACGCGCTACTACAGCCAATTGGTCTGGGAAAAGGGGCTGTCAAGCATTAGGGTATCCTGTCTCTCACCTGCAGGGTCTACAAAGGTGCGTTTCCGTCTGATCCTGTTTTCCCCAATGGTAGGGGGTTGTAAAGCTGCCTAGTTTCGTTTCCTCCCCTGAGGTGGAGATTTTATGAGTTGCGGAAGACAGGCTCGCTAGCTTCACGCAACCGTCACGAGCTTTTTACAATTTTACCGAATAGTGAAATACCAACCAGTGAACATACTTTGAGAGACACCTGGCGGAATATCTTTTATATTTTTTAGTCATAAAAAAAATTTTTAAATTTCACTAAATTGGGCTAACTATTAACAGACGTTTAAAAAATGCGTATCAGTGCGGAATTGGTGATGTTCTACATCTGACAGTGAATGGTAACTAGAAGCAAAACATTTGTAATAATCTAAAAACAAGGCCATTAAGTTACGAGCAACTGCTGTTACGAATCATTGAGGAAAATAGGAAAACTAAACGAAAAACAGAGAAATTTTTATAATACTGCATAACTGACGAATTAAATGTTTAATCCGTACTTAGAACACTAACTGATATCACAATTTTTTTTAAACATTAATAGATTTAATTCCTTTGGGGTAATTCCATTTTAACCTTTTGTTAACTCTTGTTAAAATTCACTTAAAAATTTATAAACTTTAAAAAAACGTTATATAACCTCAATGCTTATAGTAATATTATATTTATATTCGCTTATATTTTATAAAATATATTTTTCCTCTTAAAATAATATATATATATATATCTTNAAATATAAAATTTAATTTTTTTCTCAATTTTCAAATTTATTATAAAATTTGTATCAAAAGTTATATTGTATAATTTTTATAAATAAATAAATATATATATAACTAAATATTTACATAAATCAAACTATTTTGTATATAATTATAAATACTTCTTTAATCTCTATAATGAAATAGTAAAATTTTACTAACCAATAAGGAGTACCAATAAATGATTTTCTTTTATTGATAGTAGCAGTTATTTGGGCTGAAACTCCAAAGTCAGCTGTAAATATAATGCATTATCAGAAACAGATGATAATAAATGTAATTTATTTGTTAACATTATATTTTATGATCATGGAATAAACTCTCAAAATAAAGTTTATAGCATTAAAAATCAAAATTTCAATATTTATTAATTATAGATCTGCATTATGATAATGTAATAATTTTGATATTATCTCTATTATATATATATGAATTTTCATTTTTTCCCCTTCCTTTCTTTCTTCTTTGTTTGATTATACTCCAGTTAATTTATTATATTAAAACAACTTTTATTCTAGAAGTCTTACAGTTTTGTAATTGCTTTCTTCAAAATTTAACTTTTGAACTTTTATGAATGAAAAAGTGTTCCTATCAAAATATTTCATGGTAAATTCTTATTGTTTATTACAATCAGGTTCCTCAAACACTATTATTAACAAAGACCAATGGATCAGTGTATACTGATATATTTTGAACAAGATATTTATATTGAATTTAAGAAAAAAAATTAGTATTCAACAATTATACTTACTGATAGAAAAAAATATATATTTTGAAAATTAATAGAATGCGAAGTAATTTGCTTTATATTTCTTACTGAGATCTTCATGACATCCTTTCCAGATATATTTTGTAACGATGATAAAATAGTATCTCATTACTTCATTTCCTGAATCAGACTTAATCCTATATCTTTTATTGAAATTAATAAGCAGAAAAGGAAGAGAAGGATAAAGTTCTACAGTTTATATTTGCCTTTTTGCAATCCTGTCAGTTCTCTTCCTTCTGTTTCTAAAAATTCTTGAGAGAGATGTACCCAAGACTGCTTTTACTCTTGGATACATCTCCTTCAATGTCTTTTCAGATGGAATGCTTTAACATATCTGTAGATATTAGAAGGAATTCAATGAACACACTTGATTACAAAGGCAATAAGGGCTTTTTACAAGATTAAATGAAATGAAATGAGCAATTCAGTGAAGCTTCAAAATTTAATTTAATCAATTAATACAGTAAATATTAAATACAATAAGGGCTTTTTACAAGATTAAATGAAATGAAATGAGCAATTCAGTGAAGCTTCTAAATTTAATTTAATCAATTAATTTTACAGGTAAGCCCAGGCAAAAAATGAGTACAAAGATTAAGATGATTAGATTATTTCTTACTTTTAACCTTTCTTTTATATTATATTATAGTATTTGGTTTATATAACTACAAAGATTTATCTTAAGCAAGGGTTTATCACACCAATCTAACACATTTTTAAAATTCTTTAAATTGCGTACAGTAGCGGATTAAAGAATTTTTAAAATGTGTTAGATTGGTTGCTTGATCTGATAAACCCTTACTTAAGATAACCTTTGTAGTTATATAAATTAAATACTANCAGTTACATTTTGTTTTTCAATTACTTACTTTTACAATTTAAGTGCTAATTTTTGAATAATAGAAAAATTAGGAAAAAGACTTCTTAAAATGTATTTCTAATTTATTATAAAAACTTTTATTAGTTTATTTATCTTTTTAAAGCATATAAAATAATTTAAAAAATAAGAAAAAATTAAATTATCTAAAAAACCAAATCCATGTCATCTGAATAAAGCATAAGTAAATGCTGAAAGTTAAGAATTCAATAAATGTGTATTAAACATTTAAGCAAATTATATGACATTATGTCCGTAAGATGTGATAAGAAAGTAAAATGCTATAATTGATTAAGGAGTCCAAGATTTACTCAGATATAAGTGTTTTTGAGATTACACATATCATTCAAATCTATATACATTGGAACAAAAATGTCAAAGATACATTTGAGCATTTAAAAGTTTGATCATGTAATGGAGTATAAACAAACTTGAAAAAATAATAAAACAAATAGGTAAAATATATGTAAAATATACTAAACAAAAATTAATAATAATAAAGTAAATATTGAACGAGTAATTATTTATTGTGACATTGTCACAATGCAGGATGAAATTCTTAATCATATTTTTAATGTATTTAATTAGAAATATGTGCTCTCAACCTCAAATTAGTAGTGGTTTGCTCCTGTACATCATACATTTGCTTTAACAATAGAGTCATGCCAGTCATCTATCCAACACCTTACGGGAGAAAATTTTTGAATTGAAATAACATGACTTTCAGTTTGCACTGAAAGTTCTTATATAGTTAATCAGGGCCTCCTGTCTGTAAGGTTTCCGTATCTGGTCTCATCTTTCATCTATCTAACTCCATTCTTGAGATTAAGGAAAGATGGATGGATGGTTGAACTGACAATAGTGGGAATTTACAAGTCTACAATTTTTTCAAATTACAGCCCAATATGACTGCAGTAAAATAGGAAATATAAAAATAAAAAAATAAAGATTGGGCAGCACAGGAAAGTACATCATAACTGACTGCTGCTTTCTATCAGCTCTTATGTGAGGTGACATAAGAGCTGACACAAAATATCATCTACCAGTTAGACAACTATTCTAGTAATGCTTTATAGAGTTTATTATCAATGGATCCTGACCCAATTTCTCTTTCCTTTTATTTAGGATGGGCTTAGCAATTGTTGTAATTATAAGCTTTTGCCATTCTGATGAGTACTGTAAACTCCATGTCTTGTCAAACAGTTCCTTTAACAAGTCAGTGGACATTGAAGAGTACTGATATGCTTAGCAAAGAGAGAACAGAGAGCTTAACTGAATTGAGAGCTTACACCTTGTATTCAAAAGAGTTGCAGGAATTGAATGTAAGATGGTATGGATGTAGCTTCCTGTATACAACAGTATTGATGGAACACTCTGGGGAGTGTTCCATCAAAACTGTTATATCCAGAATGAAAATCTTCCTAGACATTTCTACAAGTGTATATGTGGATGATTCTTGATGCAATTGATCTATTTCTAAGGAAAGTCCTACATTGCTCTGGTTAATGTTGTGAACAAACTCTTGGTAAATGTCTTAGGCATTCCAATTATAAAAAGATTGTCAATGTACCAGAAAATAGCTGTTATATATCTGTTGCACATACCACTGGAGTTTCTACAAAGATAAGATGTTTTTCTGCATTTTACTCTGTGAGTTCTGGAGAATACAGTACATATCACCTAAACATCAGAATGGCCAAAGTTTGTTTATATTGGGTTGTTCGGAAAGTAATTTTGTTTTTTTTTTTCTGTGGAAGAAAAAAACAATATTTTTATAATAAATAAATATTTTGTTGAATTATTTATTGACCATTTTGGTCAAATATTTGTTGTCAATGTTTCTGGTAGTAGCATGATTTCACATTCATAAAAGTTTTGATCGTTGCTTACAAAAAACTGATCCAAGTCATTTTTGACATTGTCATTTCAAGTAAATGTCTTACAGTTTAAAAAAATTTGTATAGACCAGAACAAGTAATAATCTGAGTGTGCTCGATCTGGTGAATATGGTTGGTGTGATATAACTTAGATGGAATGTGCTAACAGTTTCTGACGAGTTACCAAACTTGTGTGAAATTTGACATTATCGTGGTGAAACACTACACCTATTTTGTTGATCAATTCTGACTGCCTTTTCTGTTCGATGATATTACTCAATTTGTTTACTCAATGGCAGTACACTTTCGAATCAATTGTTAAATTGTCTGGTAAAAGCTCCAAAAAAATATCCTCAAAATCCTACCAAAGATAGCATCTCTCCTTAAGAACATGTGGAACTCATATATCAAGCTTTGAAACGAAACCAATTTGTTTCAAGTAATTGTAAACAGTTCATTTTGACAAATTTAATCTCTTAGTGATTTCACGTGTTGTTATTCAGCAGTTTGCTTCAATCAGTACCTTTATTTTGTTTTCATTGGCTTCAACTGGCCATCCAGAACGTGGTGCATCTTCAATATTGAAATTGCCAGAATGAAATTTTGTAAACCAGTTTTGGCATTGTCATACTGTCAATACATCTTCCCCATACATGTCACACAATTTTTTTCTCGCTTGAACAGTATTCTTACCTTTTCAGTAATAAAAGAGCAAAATATGCCGAAAATGCTGCTTTCAATCTTACATATTTAATAGGACACAAAAAATAAACAATTGCAGAAAATCAAACAAAATTTTTTACAAATAAGCCTTAAAACGCTAGCTGTCAAAATATATAATGATAACATGGTTTAGAATAAAAATGGCAGGAAAAATACAACTAATCTGTCTAGTGGTAAAAAAAAAATGAAATTACTTTCCAAACAACCCTAATAGTTTGTTATGAAATCAAATTTTTAAATGAAAGTTCAAAACTTTCAAATGCTCAAAGACTTTAGAACTTGTCTTTGATGTTTTCATTCCAATTTATGTACATTCTGATGATGAAATATGCAGTCCTGAAAAACATTTAAATATGAGTAAATCTTGGAACTCCTTACTTGATTATAGCATTATACCTTCTTCTCTCATGCATGTTGAAATTTTAATTTATAAAGAAATTTAATAATCTGTTTTTAAAGACATAAAATAAAATAGAATAAATTTAGTCTATCTAAATATATCATAAGAAAACAAAACTAATGCATATTATAAATGAAATATATATTGTTTAAAAAATACCTAATTTAACATCACCATCTTCAGTCAATAATATATTTGCTCCTTTGATATCTCTGTGCATTTTACCCATTGAATGAAGATATGATAATCCTTTAAGTGTTTCTCTACAAACAAATGCAATTTGCAATTCTTGTAAAGGTCCACTCACTGTATAAATAAAAGTACAATTATATTAAATAATAATTTGTAAATACAGATTATAAATTCAGTTTTTTTCTATATTATGTATAAATTACAAAAATATAAACAATTAATCTGTTTAAGATTACTAAACAATGTAAGTTTTACAATTATTATAATTTCACATAAATAACTCATGGCCAATAACTCATGTGCTTAAAAGTCTATTTGAAAGCAGATGTGAGGTTATGCAATAAAGTGGATAATCTATTTTAACTTACAATTTCAAATTTAAAAAACAGTGTTACTTTTGTCTAAACTTACCAAGACTATCTTTATAAAACATTAAAAAGCTTTTACATGCTATAAACATATTAATCTGCTATTGCAAATTTTGTTCAAACCACCAAACACACATACATATAACTATTCTTCACTTTTAGTTCCCGATTTTCATTTTCTACATATCAATTCACGCTTTAATTGATATTGTTAGACACTTTTAGTTGAAGGCTGATAAGTTTTGGATAAATTACCCTCCTCTATATATTAACTCTCAGAGAACTGAAATAAAACTTCCCATTTGTGACCACTCTTGAGGAAAACAAAACTGGTAACATATAGGAGATGGGAACAGACAGACTCATTTATAACTATCAGATAGCAAGAAAAATTATTATACAGTAAGACTCCACTTAACACTGATTTGATATAACGCAATCTGCTTGAAGCCAAAAAAAAATAAAAAAATAAAATAAAAAAGCTCAAAATTTATGTTGATTCAAATTATTGCAGCATTTCATTGATTCATATATAATATGATTATTTACGAACACAAACCAATCAGCTAATCAGCAAAAGGTGCAATTCGTCATAGTGCTGTGCTTCCCTTAAATCTGTTTGTTTTGTGCAATTTTGGAAAAAATATATCATCATGGATGCCATGCAAAATATCAACTTAGCTTGGCAAGAATTAACTGATAAATGTATGAACGAAGTGTGGAAGAAGTTATAGCTGAAGGTATCCAAGAACTCTCAATGAGAAGAGCCTATCACTCTGTTGATTAGGTTGATAAATTTGTCAACCTAATCAATACAGTGATAGGCAGGACTAGATGTAGATGAGCAGGATATTGAGGAGTTAGTGCAGATTTCTGGTGAGAGCCTTACCAACCTTCAAGGACTGGCAAAACAAGGAATTCATATAGAATTGGAAAATAGTGACTCTGAAAACAAAGAACCCAAAGAATTTCTCTACACATTTCCTTAGTAAAAGTTTGGTAATGATAACCAAAATCGTTGATCAAATTATAGCAAATAATCCAGATTTTGAAAAGAATGCAAAAGCAAAACAAGGCATTTTGGATATGATCTGCTACTACCAACATTTGCTTAAGGAAAGGGGAAAAAAGTGACAAATCGCAAAAACAAGAATTTCAGAAAAACCAGGACTTTCCTCACAAAAAATGAACTTTGCATTTGTGCATGCTTATGTTTGTGTTATTTAACAGATATTATTATGCAAATTAATATAAAAATAACTTGAAATTAAAGTAAAATATGTTTATTTTGGTCACATGTTCCCCTTTTCCTATTTACTCTGTGTTAAAATGACCACGTTTGTTTAACGCTGTTTCGTTTAGCACCTTGTCATCTAGGAACATAGCCCCTGCATTAAGCAGGGTCTTACTGTAGTTAATTTATATTTAAACTTACTATGGTATATATCTTGTAAAGAACCACCACCACAATATTCCATACATATCCAAAGCTTTTCTCTCCTATAAAAAAAATTTGAATTTAAATTCAAAATATTTTTTAAAATTATATTTCAATTTTAAACAATACTGTAATACTTTTAAATATATTAATCAAAATATTATAGGTGACAAATATATTTATCATTTGATTAATGATTTATTGTAATGTTAATGTTAATTTGAAAAGTATGTTTAGTTTCATTTCAAATTTTTTATCAGCTAAGAAATGTGAGGTCTGCAATCCAAAAGTGGCAGTGAGTCAGTTATTTTGCAATAGCTATAGCTAAACCTATCCATTGAGGGAGCATTGTAATTTTTGTCTTGGATTTATTTAATTTATTATTAGTTCACTTTAACCTTATAAAATCAAAATTAGAATGATTATACAGATTGAGTAGCTCTTTAGAAAATTAGTTTTGTCAAACAATTGATGTCTTTTGAAGTACTGTGAATTTGGATTACTTTTTTCTTTTAATTTTTTATTTTTTCTGTCCTGAAGGCACTAAGAGTGTCTTTTTAATCATAGGCTCAGCGGACTCAAAATGGGGCAGATGAGTAGCAAGGGGCAGGCTAGGCTTTCCAGGAAAAATCCCTGGAAAGTTACTCATCCGGATTCAATTCCTGGCCTGAGGAATTGTATCCAAATGAATCCCAATGCCTTAACTGTCTTGGGAGCTGTGAATCTGAGTAACAGTGAAGTATAAATAAATTTACCAGTTATTGTTATGTACTATGTATTTATTATTCATTACAATATTAAATTTAGCACTTAATAATTATACCATATCATTAGCAAGTGCAACATATTATTTTGACTCGAATAATGTTTTTTATCACACTAATTACAGCTACCATCCAAGCATGGTGTTTGTAAATCAAGGATTGAGTGTTTCTGCTAGTCCTCCCATACCCAATTCCTAACCTCTTGTGCATCTTTTTGAAAAATAAACATTGATAAATATCAAAAAGTTATCTAATGTAGTGGGAATTTAACATTTCCTTGTAAGCAATCACCATTTCCTTTATGTCTGGTATGTTGATCTATATGAAATGCATCTGTTCTTGTTTTCTGTTGGCTATTAACTTACCATTTCAATTTATGAAATGGTAAGTAAGCTGCAGAAGCAGATAATATTTCTGATTTTTGCTTCTGTATTACTTTTCTGCAAATGAAAACAGAGCTTTACAGTTTATAAGAATTATTATTATAAGATGTAAAGTTCTATTTTCATTTGCAGATTAATAGGCCCCACAGTCATTAAAATTGGCCAGACAGAGTGCCCATCTATAATAAAAAGGCCTGAAGAAGAACACCACCAATAGCAATAATTTTGGACTAAATTAATTAACTAAAATGGTGAATATTTTTTGAGAGTTGTCATTGAATATTAATGCTATAAAGCAGGTGTGGCCAAACTTTTATCCCAAACTTTTATCCCATCAACTGTATTTATTAGTTCTGTCCCAATGGAGTGACATTCTTCACATTGCTTAGCTGTCAATTACCTCAAAACAATATAACAGATAGAATACATTTTCAAGTTATCATGAAGTATGTACAAAACCATGGAAAATTCCTAAAATGTCAACCAGATTGTCTAGTAATTGTCTATAGCAGGAATGGGCAACCCGCGGCCTGCAGTAATATTTTTTGCAGCTCATGTCACATAAAATATGAATAAATATATCAATTTCCCAGCTTAAGGAAGTATGCGGCAAAAATTCAAATGTTATTTTTTACAACTTATGTATGTGAATAGTTTTTTCACAATGAATTTAGTAAAAATTAAAACAAGAAACCGGCTAACAGACGTATCAAAACTAATTTAAAGCTAGCAGAGACTAATATTTAACCAAATATTTCCGATATATTGTGTTTACATCACTTCCAGAAGCTAAATTAAGTATACCTATGCTATATATCATGTGTGGCCAAACTTTTATCCCTTAGGGGCTACTTTTTTTGGTAAAATATAGTCTGTGGGCGACTATGAATATGGGCAAACAATTTTAGGATTTTTATATGCGCATGCATTAACATTCATTTGCATTGTTCATCGGGATAAATACAAACAGTATGGGTACGTTGCACAGACAGTCTATTATTGTAAGAATAAACTATTGAATTAAGATTTTTAAACATTAATTTAAGTGAAAGCAAATTGTTCAACTTTAGATTCACTGGCTACTTTCAAAACCTTTGTGGTCGACTGGTCGACCGTGGTCTACGTGTTTGCCATCCCAGCTATAAAGCATTTCAATGTTGATATTAGTTATATGTTATCCTCATTTACATGGAATGTGCATATAATTTTTAGAGAAATTTCTGATGCTGAAATAAATAATCATTTCATTATTTTGTGTACATATTGCTATAAATTGTTATTTTAATTATGAAATTGTTATAAGTAATATTTTATCTAGATAGAATATTTTAAGATTTTCTGAGTTATTTCTTATAAAATAATTATTATAATGATAGAAGATTATTTCTTGCTTGCATATTATTATTATTTTTATTTTTATAAATTTAATTTAATTTTTACAAAATATATCTGAATATATTTATTTCTTATGAAATGAAAAAAATCATAAAAATGAAATGATTAAATTTTGTCTAATGCCATAAAGTTAAGTTATAGATTTTGAATTCTTATCAAATCTATTTAAAAAATTTGAAATGAAACTAAACATACTTTTCAAATTAACATTAACATTACAATAAATCATTAATCAAATGATAAATATATTTGTCACCTATAATATTTTGATTAATATATTTAAAAGCATTACTATATGAATGAATAGTTTATTTTTACACAATATATTTTGTAAAAAGACATATATTGATCAATTTGTTTGAGAATTTTTATATCATCATAAAAACATATATCATATCAATTATTTCCGATTCATTGAATTTTTTGAATTCGTACAAAAGTTTTTTTAATTAATCAAATATTTTAACATAAAGCTAAAATTAGCAAATATTTTCTGGATATAATCAGTTACTTTTACAGTATAATCACTTAAAAGGGGGAGGTTGGACGAATAAACTGAAATGTTATGTCCTTCAAATCCAACACTCACCCAAGTTCAAGAATTACTCAGAAGACTATTAATTCTCAGATATTTTATTTAAATGCATTTTGGATCAGAATTCTCACTGATCCCTCTTCAGTAAAAGTACAATCTGCGACAGATCTTACACTGATATTTCTGACTCTTCAAAATCAATCACCTATTTGATTGATTTCAAAGAGTCAGAAATATCAGCGAGAATTCCAATCCAAAATGTATTTAAATAAAATATCTGAGAATTAATCGTATTCTGAGTAATTCTTGAACTCAGGTGAGTGTCGAATTTGAAGGACATAACATTTCAGTTTATTTCCCCCCAGAAAAAAAAACCTTTTTAAGTGGTTATAAAAGTAACAAATATTTTAAAATTATTACATATATAAAAAATATTTACCTCAAATAACTTCCATAATAAGCAACTATATTTGGATGAACACAATCCTTCATCATTAATATCTCTTGCTGTATAATACTGATATCATCACCTATTTAAAATAAAACTCATATATCATTCAGAAAAATGAGAGCAATAATAAACATAATTTATACATATAATTTTCAATTACCTGGTTCCAGCTTGATAATTTTAATAGCAGCATGATCATTGTTGTTATGTCTACGAGCCTATTAAAATTAATTTTATAAATTAATTATAGGATGATAATAATGATATTTCTTATAGAAATTTGTTAATTATATAAAAATTTTAAAATTAAATATATAAAAAATATAAATATTTAAAAATACCGTAACCTTTCATTAAGATTCACATTTCAAAATTATGAAGAAGAAATGAAAAGTTGATAGAAAAAGAAAAATGGATTCATAAAATTTATATATTAACAAATTAAATACAATAAGTTTATAATAAATATATTTATGTATGTGTGTTAAACTTTTTGTCTGTAAATCTATTCAATTTGTTTTTATATTTTGTAAGAGGAAACGTATTTTAATTGTAGATATACTGATTAGTAAATCTTATAAAAATAATTATAAATACCACATTTTAATTCCAAACACTCAATTTGTACACAAATAATTTTAAATAGCAACTTTTGTGATAATTTTCAGATGAAAAGAACCACAGGCATACATATAATCCAATTCATCTACAAATCAGAAACAAAATATTTATAAAAATTGAGAAATTAACCAAATCTAAATCTGAACAATCATTTATTTACTTATACCAAACATTATTTACATTACAATTAAAAAACAAACTTTAATAGATTGGAGAAATTTTTTTTTTAATTGTAATAAAATTACTAAAAAAACACATTTCTATATTATATTGATAAATTTATATGAAACTCAAAACATTTTCTACAAAATTAATTTATATCGATAAAAAGCTAGACATTATTATATTATTATAAAATAGTTTAGATGTAAAGATTTAAAAAATGTGCCCGCTCCCGAAAGCGTGACAAGCACGTGAGAAACTGTTCTTTCGCCATCTGGTTACTATAACAACAGTCATAACAAAGTGAAAAGTGAATTAACTTCACCTTTCAGCAATCAATGACGTCAAATACGATAACGGCCATTTAGCAGCTGCCTTTACGTGATAAAACGGAAAAAAAAAACTTTCCTTCCTGCTTCATCTAGTTTGACTTAACGAAACGAAATTAAATTAAAAATAATTCATTAATTATATATTTATTTATTACGCGCGCGCGCGCACACAAAATATATTGCAAGTTTTAATTAAAAAAGTTAGCAAAACTGCTACGTTCATTAAAACGAATCAAAAATATTTTAAGATAATTTCAAATCTTATACAATAAACATTAGCTTTTGGCCGAGGACCAAGAGACGAGTCAAAATCTATGTAGATGACACTAAACTGATTTCTTGGATGAACGACAAACTTACTTTCGAGAAATATAAATAGTTCTTCAATAAATAAATTTTAAAAATGAAGCTTTCTGTAACTAAATGAACATTTAAACAGAATAATCCTTTATTCAAATTATTTATTATATTGAAAATGATAACAGATATTTGTTAATCCGATGCAATTTTTGTCTACGACTATTAAATTTCAACACATTTACGCATTCTTATATTGACTAATACCTATAATTGGAAATTACTAACATAAAANAACATTCAAACAGAATAATCCTTTATTCAAATTATTTATTATATTGAAAATGATAACAGATATTTGTTAATCCGATGCAATTTTTGTCTACGACTATTAAATTTCAACACATTTACGCATTCTTATATTGACTAATACCTATAATTGGAAATTACTAACATAAAATAATTATATAATTTATCGCTATTTAATTTAAAAATTAAATATATTATGTAACACCTTTTGTAGTTTGTTTCAAACATTACGATAATATGATAACGATAATATATACTGTATATATATATATAACCTACGTATATTATCAATATCGTACTGTAATGTTTGAAAATAAATTTATCGCTATCCAATAACTAAAATAAATATTTGATTTCTTTACTTTAAAATAGCCATTTTTCTCGGTTTATAAATCAAATGTTTAAAATCGTTTTTAAACGTTACCAATCGATAATTTTAGAAACAATCCTACAAATATTTTGTTAAATACATGTTACTGTGTTTTAATGTGTATCCTCGTACTCGACTCAATTTATACACAGAAAATTTATTTATATTATTAATTTGGAGTAGGAATTTCTGTTCTTTTACGCACAGAAACATTCTCTTTTCAAATAATTTTCAGATTAAAATAGTTTTATAGAGCAAGATATAAATCAACATATTAGGAATCTATGTCGAACATCGACGAAAGCACATTGTGTAAGATGTTACATAAAAAGCAAATATCAGCTCATACAGATTTTCGTTTGATATAATCAATTTTCATTAACTTCCACTCATTTTTTTTACCACTTATTCCGGGGCGATTCTCATTTTTAAAAGATCTATGTAGCTGCTGTAAATCGCTCATTATACTGTATTATATTTACAAAGTATAATATTGTTACATATTATTTTTTGATAAACTGAATAAGGTGGAAAAATTACTTTTAAAACGGAAAGTTTTCAAAAAATAAAAAATAAAATAAAATAAAATAAAATCGCTAAAGAATAAACATCACTCGCCAAATTGTGTAGAAATAGCCGATTTGAAAAAGAAATCATTTTGTGGCTGAGTTCCTAAAACGTCACGTGCATGCCATGTCATAGTGTAGTCCTAAACTCAAGGAAGGTTGGGCATGGAAGTTTTTTACGCTTGTACAGTTCCTATTTACCACGGGTAACGCTTATATGGCTTTTTTCCCCGTTCAGTTTCTGTTCCCTTGCATTCTCGTACCATTTCCGTTCCCATTCTCCATAATTAAAAAGAAAGCCGTGGACACAGCAAAACAAACTTTTAACCAGCACTTAACAAAGAAAATATTTTAATAAAATCCTAACTTATTCCTTAAACAACAACACAAATTGAAACGAGGAAAGCAGTTGTAATGTAAGAAAAATGAACTTATAAATTAATTATAATTAAACGAACAGAATTTATAAATATATAAAAACAACTTTAACACTTTTAAAGATTAAAATAAATCTTTAATGTCATAATCTTTAAGATTATAATTTTAAGTTTTTTATCTTTTTGTTTTTTGAAATTAAAAACTTCTCTAAATTTTGGAACAACAATAATACAAATGAAATGGAAAAAAAATCGCATTTAATTCATTTCTAAAATATACTATGGCTTCGTAGTCTTATAACAACGCAATATTAATTAGTTCAATGAATGTTGAAAGAGGTGTTCCGTAATTGGTTTTTCCTTAAGACGTGTACGGAAGATAAGTCACTCATTTTTTATATCCATTCCTAATCCCCTACAAATGGTTGAAAAGTGGTTTCGTCTGTTTAGAGGAGTGCCAAGTTATGTTGGAAGAAATGTACTGTACTGCAATCAAAAAATTTGCGTTTCTGTGAATTCTATTCCCGTTTCATTCACATTCCCGTATTGCATGTACTAATTTCGGTTCCGTCCCGTCCACTCCCACGGGAATTTCGAGGGAAACGGTATCCCGCGCATCTTTACATCTTTAAAAACTTTCCGCAGTCTTTCTCCAAACTAGCCCAATTCGACGTGAAATCCGCCCAACTGGCAACAATGTCGTAGCAAATATCGATTTTAAATGCACCGATGATTCAATTGAATCGAAGAGCCGATGCATCTAGAGCAAAAAACATCGATGCATAGCGCAGCACTAATCGACACTCTGATATAAATTCTAAATTAGTTTAGAGCATTCATTTATTATGCTGATACATAATTTTGATTATGATACAGGTATACTTTAATATATACATATATAAATTAGACAAAATTGATATATAGTTTTAAAAAACTTAATTCTATTAAAATATATATAAAACAATTTTAAAAGCGAATGCCATTAATGAACATTCAAAAAACTAATAAACTCAGCATAATTTTCAGGCATTTCCAAATTAAACTGGTATAATAATAAAAAAAATGAATGCCGTATATTGAAACTAATTATTTAATATAACAATATTGGTTTAATAAATCTCTTAATGAATTTCCAACTGAAAACTGTGGTCTGATAAGTCCTTTTAAATAACAGAATATTCAAAAGTAGCTATTAAGAATATTAATTATAAAATAGGAATAATCAAATAATAATAATAATAATAATACATTTTTAATTCTCTCAGTTAATTATTTTGTTTAAAATTTTATAATTTTAAAAAGCAATAAGAACTGTATTTTATAATCATAAGGATATAATTATGTATAATTATATAGCCTATATAACACTAATATTCATTATTAATTATAAAATAAAACTTATGGGAATGTCTGATATGAATTATAAAAAATTAAACTTCTACTAAATAATGAGATAAATATTAAAGGAAGAGAAATGTTAACAAGTTTATTGTTTAAAATAACGGAAAGATTTCATTTGCAACACTGAATCAAACGGCTAGAATAGAAGTGACTCATATATATAGTATCAGTAGTGAATTTGAAACACCTGCCACATTGTTCGGAAGTTAGCATTTTATTTTATTTTTTTCCTTTCCTTTTAATATAATGTAAACTACTTTAACGGATATGGATTTAAAAACGAAACACTTTTGGATACTTCTATAATATGATTGAATGCAGTTTTATTGTAACTTGAGTTAACAAACAATGAAAATTCCTTTAGTTGACAAAGACAAGGAGCAGTTCGTTTCCGGTCCGAACACGAACTAAGAATTGAGTCGAAGCACTGGCAAGTCAAAAATATTGTTTCGGGGAGCCATCTACGAGAATCACTTACCGTTACAGCATCAGTGACGTCGCCGCTGGCATAAAAAATTAAACAAATTTGCGCGTGACTTCGGACAATATCACTTTGACCCCACTCTATTTCGAAAACAAAATAGTGGACCCCAATTTTTATTAAATTTTTAATTTTCTCGTCTCATATCATGTAAAATGACAAAGTTTAATTAAAATCGATCGAACAAATTTTGAGAACGAATTCAATTCTATAAGCCACATAGAAGACACTTCGCTAACGCTCCGCCCTCAATTAATTGCATTAAAATCACGTTAACGTGACTCCAACAGAAAATGACTACG